CACCAGTCAAACAGCCTCGGGGACGGTGGGCTTCCTTGACTCGGGTTGGAGCCGACCGGAGAACATCGGACTATTTGGCTGCCGCCACTTACCCCTATACTACCTTTGCCTTGGAAACCAAGAAGCTCTGGTGAAACCTGAAAGATTTTAGTGGTTATCGTAGCACATCGCACTCATCATCAGTGAATAATGGGAGGGTCATGAGGGTGTATTGGGAGGGTACAGACATCGGTCAGAAGGGCGTAATGTGATTGAAGTTGAAAAGCTCAGCGCTGAAAAAAGGATCGAGATAGGAACTCAGTGGAGAAACTGGGAATTCGGGAATGCACGGGGTCTAAATGTTAACTCTTTCCCTTCCCGTGGCTTGTGATGGGGAATAGAGTATTGCTCATCGATTAACAGACATTAGCAATCCTGCGTGCCGCGATCTCAGTGTCATTAGACTTCGGTCTCTTTTGATGGGATTGCTTGTCATAATTCTCCGAATAATAGTAGCTATTCCGGAATAGAAGGCTGTGAGAACTAAACTAGATACGTAGGTTGTTCAGCTCTTGGGATGACAAAGACCTCACGAAGTGATATGATGGGTGGGGTAGTAAAGACACATTCCCGATTACCTGCTGGGTAGGATCATTTTGTGACTTGGAAGTTAATGAGGAGGGCGCCAATGTTGTCATAAGGGATTGTTCGTAGTGTACGACCCTGAAGAAAGGAGAAATGCTGAAGTGCAGTAATACGTATCGCCCGGAGGATTGCCGAACGTTCTGGAGAAACGCCGGCTCACCGTTTTTGCGGAAAGATTAGATGCTGATTTCGCTGACTCTGCACGCGAGGAGAACGTTAGAGCAGACGAAGATAGAGTTGTCAACCAGCCGTTCCGCAAAACCGCCTGTCGATACGTATCTAAACCTTTTCGCGATGGCGCCAGATTCTACGCCAAACCCCCTGTCGACTGGAGTCAAATTTTTTCGTGGACGTTTCTTTCGCCGATTTGTCATAATCGCAGACTATGAACGACGCCTAACCTGTGCAGTCTCCGCCCACTAGTAGGTGACTCCTCCCACGCGCGTCTTTCTGACCTTTCATCTTCGTCTCTGTAATGCAGAGTGTCCGAGGTGTCTAAAAACTTAACAGGTTCTTTTATAATTGAAGGGAGAAAAGGGTTTCTGCATAAACTCTGAGGTTGGATGAGGTTGGATTTCCCTGGTGGGTGGGGTGCTTCACCCACCTCGATGCTATTTCTCTCTTATGCTTAAGCAGTACCCAATCCTAGTCCAAATTATTATTTTTATATTATATATAATTATTATCAAATTGTGAATTACACAGGGTTCTTCGCATCTTGCAGCACTAACTGCGGTTTAGTATAGGGAAGAATCAGGAATAGCGTGGATGTGCTGAAGAGTGCAGCACTAATCAGGTGCATAGGAGGACATTAGAATGTGATGGAAAAGCACAGCTGTTTATGTCATGATTGGATTTCGTCAAAGAGGAGTCCTGCCATGACTTAACACGCCCTATAAATTAAAGGAGCCTTCGCCGTCGATGATTTTCTCCGGGATGTGGCGCCCATACCACTTCATTCCAGATCATAACCAAACCCTCCCAGCTCGG